AGGCCAAAGAGGATGCTGGGATGAGTGGTGGCCAAGGTGCACAGGGGTCATGGCAAGAAGCAGGGATAAGGTGGGTAGGATTCTGGGATAAGTAGGGTGCTGAAGTGGGCAGACACCAGGACAGGCAGAGGCCAGCACAGGCAAGATGCTGCAGTGGGTAGGAACCAGACATCTCGCCATGTGTGGCCCCCTCAGCCCCCCTTGCTGCCCATGCAGGTCTGCTGGAGCTGTGCAAGCGGTGTGGCAGTGAAGCTGTGAGCTACCTCAGCGCCCTGCAAGACCCAGGGACGGTGGCAAGTGCTGACTGCACCCTGGTGACAGCCTGCCTGAGCCAGATCAGCGCCATCGGGGAGGTGGGTTGCCCAGGAGGGCTAGTGGGATGGGAGCAGGCCATGGCAGGCACCATCAGAGGGACTGTAGTGCTCCTGGACTGTCCCTCTCATCCCATCCTGTCTTCAGGAGCTGCATCCCAGAGGTCTGGATGTCAAGCAGGAGGAGCTGGGTGACCTAGTGGACAAGGAGATGGCGGCGACAGCCACAGCCATCGAAACAGCATCTGCCCGTATTGAGGTGGGGGTCACCATGAGCAGAGAGGTGCCCACAGGCACCACACCAGGGGCCTGCTGGGACCACTGTAGAGGCCAAAGAGGCACATTGGGCTCAGTGCAGCCTCTCTCCCCTCAACCAGGAGATGCTGAGCAAGGCACGGGCTGGTGACACTGGAGTCAAACTGGAAGTTAATGAGAGGTGAGTGGTGATTGGAGCACTGGACAGAGCCAGGCAGGCAGGATGGGGGTAGGTGCTGCAGGCAGGGTAGCTGCTCCACAGGTGGGGCTCAGTGGTGTTTGTCTCACAGGATCCTGGGCTCCTGCACAGGCCTCATGCAGGCCATCCACGTCCTGGTCCTGGCCTCCAAGGACCTCCAGAGAGAGATCGTCGAGAGTGGACGGGTGAGCTGGGAGCAGGGGTGGGGGAAAGGGGGGAGGCAGGGATGAAGACAGGGATGCTTATCCAGCTGAGAGGCATTGTGCACTTCCTGGGATATGCTGCTCCAACCCTTGTCCCACTGGGAGTTCCTCACCAGCTGCCAGGAGCTCCTTTCCACCCCCAGGGGCTCACCTTGGTTATGGTTCCTGGGGTGTCACGGTGATCCCTGATCTCCCTTCCCACACAGGGGACCCCACAGCCCTCAAGTTCAGTGTGTCCCCACCTCCAGCACACATCCTGAATGACACCCTGTCCTCCTTTCCCCCCAGAGCAGGGGCCCGGTAGCTAATTGTTCCTTTTCCAATGGCAGGGTGCAGCATCCCCCAAGGAGTTCTATGCCAAGAATTCACGCTGGACCGAGGGTCTCATCTCTGCCTCTAAGGCAGTGGGCTGGGGTGCCACTGTCATGGTGTAAGTGCCACTGTCACCAGAGTGGGGAGAGGATTCAGAGTCCTGCCATCACCACGGGGAGGGGACATAGTGGCGGGATAATGCTCCAGCTCCTCTCTGCTCTCCTACAGTGATGCTGCTGACCTGGTAGTGCAAGGCAAGGGGACATTCGAGGAGCTGATGGTCTGTTCCCGGGAGATCGCGGCCAGCACCGCACAGCTGGTGGCAGCCTCCAAGGTAGGAGCAAGGCTGCTACCCTGCCTATGCTTCAGGGTGATGCTGGGGAACCATGTGGTCACCCCAAATCATGGGGCTGGTCTTCTGCTTGCCTGATGGGGCGTGACCCCCTCCTCACTGTCCCGGCAGGTGAAGGCAGACAAAGACAGCGCCAACCTCTGCAGGCTCCAACAAGCCTCCCGAGGCGTCAACCAGGCCACAGCCAGCGTGGTGGCCTCCACCAAGGCTGGGAAATCTCAGGTGGAGGAGAAAGGTAAGTGTTGGGCTGCAGGGATCTTAGAATCATATAATCACTAAGGCTGGAGAAGCTCACTAAGACAATTGAGTTTAACTGTTTCCCCATCACTAACCATGTCCCCAAGTGCCACATCTACATGGCTTTTAAATCCCTCCAGGAACTGTGACTCCACCATGCACTGGGCAGGCTCTGTCAGTGCCGAACAACCCTTTTCGTGAAGAAATTTTCCTTTTTATCCAACCTAAACCTCCTCTGGCACAACATACAGCTGTTTCCGCTGGTCTTTATGCTTGGAGCACAAACCTTCCCCAAAACCTCTGCTCTTGGCACTCACCACCCTTGGTTGGCTGTGTCCCTGTGGTCTCTACCCATGGCTGAGACCCTCACTCCTTCCCTGCATATCCCATGGTGCCAGACCCTGCCAGCAGCATGGAAGCTGCTGGGGTGTCTGAGTGGGGGAGCAGAGCTTGAGGGGAGCTGATGGTGTCTTCTCCACAGATAGCATGGACTTTTCCAGCATGACACTCACCCAGATCAAGCGTCAGGAGATGGACTCACAGGTAGGAGATTCCCACGTGGTTTGGGAAACACACCTGGTCATGTCTCTCTTGGGCTCCCTGGGGTAGGGCATCATCATGGGGTCACCATGCCCAGCTGCCCCCAGGTAGCACAAGCAAAGGTGAAGCCCAAGGTATGAAGACAACAGATGGGTTTGCCCAGGAGTAATATGCACTTTGTCCTCAATCCTGCCGCACTATTCCCATCGTGACATAGCCCATGGCCACCCCTGCCCTCCAGGTGGTACCCACAGCGCCCACCTCTGCCTGGCATGGGGCAGCTCTGGGGAATTCCCCTGCCTGGGATGCCCACACAGATCATTGTGACTTCACCTGCCTGCACAAGCAGTGCCTGCCTGAGCTTCATCCCCTCCCTGGGTCTCCTCATCGTTGGGCCATTTGTGGGATGCACCTCTGTGGTCTTTGGGCTCGATACTGGGGGCATAATGGGTGTGAAAGGGGTCTGCTTGGCCCAGTTCTGTGCTAGGGTGGGCATGTCCTGGGCTATGTCTCCAGGTGCGGGTGCTGGAGCTGGAGAACCAGCTACAGAAGGAGCGGCAGAAGCTGGGGGAGCTGCGCAAGAAGCACTACGAGCTGGCTGGCGAGGCAGAAGGCTGGGAGGAGGATGGTGAGTGGTGCCAGCCCTGCTCCAGCTGGGCAGATGCTCCTGGAAAAGGTGGAGCAGGGTGGAGAAGCCCTGCCTGCCATCCATGACAGTAAGGAGGTTTAGTTGCAACTGCCACAAAAGCCTGGGGATAGTTGGCACACATGGGCAAATCCCTTGGGGTCTCTCCACGGGAAAGACCCGAATATGTGGGATCTACATCATCCCCAGGCAGGGGGCTCAGCTGCTGCTAGAGCAGCCCTGTGGTCCCAGAGGGATGCGGCAGAGGGATGCTGGTGGACAGCACACCCCCTGACGCTGTCTTCCCACCTATAGCTGCAGATTAGCACCAGTGGTAGAAGCAGCCCACAGGGGACACCTGGGAGGGACACTGTGGGGGACACCCCTGGGACCCCACTTGGTGCAGTCTGTTGAGAAGATCCCCAAGGAAGCGGTGCAGAAGCCCCACTGAAGCACATGTCCCCTGTGTCCCTCCAGGAGCCGCCTCCAGCACCAGAGCCGAGCTTCCAGCCACACCCCGGGGCCAGGATGAGGGCGCAAACCACACCTGTATTTATTAGAGCTGCTGGGGGTGGGGGGAGGTGTCTACGCGGGGGTCTTTAACCCTTTAGTTTTGTTTTTGCACAGATTCTGGGAACTCCTAGAGCCATCTCTGGCTGAGCAAGAGCGGTTAGTCTTCTCTTGCCTCTTGCTGCTTTTCCAGCCTTAATCCAGCCCCTGGCTCATTAAGAATGTCCCCCCTGTCCCAGGAATGAGCATGCTGAAGGTCCCAGGGGTGCCACTGGGCGGAGGACAGCTTTTGGGGTGCTGCTGGGCTTGGTGCTAAGTGTGCTCCCCCTTGGTGGGGACACCGAGTGCCTTTGGCCATTGCAGGCTGAGAGGTGGTGTCACATGGGACGCCCTGGCTGGTTACACAGGGTGCCAGGAACAGTTAGGAAAGGGGCAGCAGCAGGAGGGCTGCTGCCATGAGCTCCTGCTCCTCAATCCAGGTCCCCAAAATGCCTCCCAAGCCCTCCCTGAACTGGGATGCTCTGCCCTGACAGTTCACTGTGTTCATGCCAGCAATAAACCCTCCACAAGGTGCTGGGTGTGGGTTTGGGCCACAACAGTGCCACTGCACAAGCCACCAGCTCCTGGGGATGGGGGGCAACTCTAGGGCAGCAGCACAGAGAGTTTGGGGGGAAGTCAGGGTGCCCCAAAACCAGAGCACCCCAAAGCCAGAATAAGCAGCTCCCTGTCCCTGCTCACTTTGGTGCCACCCTGGTGTCACCACCCTCTTGGGTGCAGCGGGACCAGGGTCAGTGTGGCGGTGGGCAGGGGCTGCCATGGGGCTGGCACCATCCGGGTAACCTTTGTGCCTTGAGTAGGGGGCTCAGAGGGCAGGGGGCATGAGCCACCTCTGGGCCCCCCAGCTCATCTCACTGCAGTGGAGACAGTGATGTCAGACCATGCAGCTGCCCATGGTCCTCCTGGTGCCCCTGCTGGGGCCAGTGTCCCTCCTCTTGGGGTGCTGAGGACAGGATTTGGTCTTTCTCCCTTTGGGAACAGGCTGGGCTGTCACTGTGTTCTTTCCCAGCAATGCCCACCTGTCAGCACGCAGCTGGCACCTCGAGCAGCGGGACCTGCCACCACTGTGGCCTCAGAGCTGCCACCCCTCCACGCAGCCATCCAGTGTGCAGGGACCCACCGTTCCCATGTGCCCTCCCAGCCCTGCTGCTGGACCACCCACTCTGTGCGCCAGCTTGCCAGAGGGACCTGGACCTCCCCCTGGGGGTCCTGCTGCTTCCCCATCCTCAGCCCATGCTGGCTCCCCTCGGATGCAATACCAACCATCCTGTTCCTGCAGGACACAGGGAGCCCCAAAACCCTCCCCACTTTTTTGGGGGGAGTCTTGCCTGCACGCCCAACTACCTCAGGCCTTGGGGCTGGGGGTCACAGTTGCATTGGGAGCTTGGGGACAGCAGCACCACTCTTGGCCAAATCCACTTGTCCCTTTTGTATCTCAGCCAGGCATGGGCAGAGGGTCCCTGCGGTGTCCCCAGTGATGGCAGCTGGTGACAGGGATGACAGGGGTAGCCCCCACTGCAGGGCAAAATGATTTGGGTTTTCATTGTATGATAAAATGACCATGTTGTTTGTTTTGGATTTTTCAATAAAGCCTTCGGCCCAGCCCTGCAGCCTGTGGGGAGCTACAGGGGACCTGTGTCACAAGGGGGTCCTGGGCTCATCAGGGTGCTCAGTGGCTCCCAGAATCACTTGGTGTCGAGGTGACCTGTATGTTGTCCTGGTGATGACCTCCAGCTTTTGCCCCCATCTGTTGCACGGCTTCATGTCCCCACAAGGGTGGGGGGCCATGCATGGCCACCCTGCATATCCCCTCTTTTTGCTGGGAGGGCATCAGGATGTGATTCCTGCCCAGCCCTGAGGACTGTGGGTGGCTTTGTCCTTCCTTCCAGCGGGGTTGATGCTGCAGTGGGGAGGCCATGCAGATCATCCTGTGCTGTAGGGTCATCCCAGCAGAGTCATGGCAAGAGGGTCCTGCTACTGGGTGGCCCATGGAAGCCACAGACAAGGATCTCAGGGGAATGTCCCCTCCTAAGTATGGTTAACCCATCCTGGGCAGCACCTAGTGTCCTCCAGCACTGTCAGGGCCACTTGGACCCCTGGGATGCAGAAAGCTCTGTTGACAGCAGCCACTGTCCTTGCCATGATCCCTGTTATTTTCCTTGCTGTTGGCCCTGCTCTGCAGGACACAGCTGACTGGCAGTGGGATGGGAAATCCCTAGGGCTAGCCATGTCTCCTGAGGACCCTAAGGCAGCCAGCCAGAGAGAATTCCCATAGTTCCCAGCCCTGTCCTCAGAGGAGGATGGTGGTAATGGCACCCTTCATTTGGGAGAAGGGGACAGGCTGGACACAGTGGTGACTGGGGAGAGGCAGGACTGTAGCCCCTGGTTTCTGTATGTGGGACATGTGGTCAGATGCGGCGTTGGCATTGGCAACATTTGAGGACACACAGAGACTGGGACAACGGGACATAGAGGCTGGAATGGTACGGGGGGGCTGTAAGGGAGAGGATGGGAAGAGGGACATAGGGAGGGCAAAGGTGGGGTACACAGAGGCTGGAATGATGTAGGGGGGTTGTTAGAGACAGCATGGGGACCCAGGGACCGGGAGGACATGGGTATTGGGGTGGTAAACAGGACTGTGGATTGGAGTAGAGATGGGGAGATTGGAATTTGGGTGGGGGAGAAGTGGTGGAGAAGGGA